CCTAAGCCTTTGGCTCCTCTTCCCCATTATAAACTAGTACAGTAAGGAAGTAAGGAACACCCTCTTGTGAATAATCGTATTTTCTGCAAAACCTTTATGGTAGGAGGGTACCTTCTGATGCAACACTGACCTAGGCTGACCCTGTTAGCTTGTGATATTTAATGTGATCATCATACAAGCTGCTATGCCTGCAAGTGGTAACAGACAAACAGAAATCTCAGAACAAGGGCTACTTGTTACTTAAGCCACATAGCAATATAAAAGTCAGCTGCCTAGAAAATGTTGACTTCAACCTCACAGGCAAAATAGTCACAGTAACGCCAGCACTGTATTAGAGAAGGAGACAAAGGCAGTAATAAAAGACAGAAAGGCATTCTGGCATCTGCTGAAAAGGGGTGTTTTCATTCAATACGCCAAAGGGAAAAGAAAATTAAGAGAGAAAATGAAAGGCTCCTAATTATCAGCATGCACACCTAATCCTAAACCCATCGTAACTTCTTTTCCATTACAAGTCTAGGACACATTGTCTAGATAACACATTAATGAAAAGAAAACTATGAGAGAACAGCCTAAATGACTAATTAGCAATTAACTTTTCAAATAACCTAAAAGGAGCAGACTACCCTCCAATGCAGTGGGTGCATTTACACCTACTCTTAATACACAGCAATAAACTCTGGTGCATATCACACTCCTGGGCACCGAGTTTGAACATGCTCCCAGGACTGTACCACATTGACCTGGGTCAGAGGAGCCCTGGCTGGCAGGAGGCCAGGGGGGTCAGCCTGCCACCCTGGGGCTATTTTGACCCAGCTCAATGTGCTGTGGCGAGGTTGGCTGGGGCATAAGGATACTCGATGTGTGGGGCTAGCCAGCAGCAGCACCCGCACTGTAGCACCCTCATGCCCCAACCAGCATCTACACCTGCATTGCTGTGGAATAAAAAACCTGACACAGGACAGTACTGTGGTGGAGTTAGTTAGTTTACTGTGTCCTAATAGCATTGCACGTGTAGATGCTGAGACACTGCAGAGCTAATTAGGCAATTCAACAGTAAATGTATTGTGTAGCCATGTCCAGTAGGTGGGAGAGCCAGCAAAGTGAAATCACCTTCTCCAGAGCTGTCCAACTAAGCCACTGGGGACGGCACACTGCGTAGGCTGCACCAAGCAAACCATGAAGTGCTGGTCTGCATGGGTGCATATGAGGATGCTATTCCATGCACCCACATGGGAATCCTCCCACTGCTGCATTGCATGGGCACAACCCCCAGCCCCATTCCTACCCGTCTCGTCCTTAATCCCCGAAACAGTACTGCATTGCACTGCCCAAACCCCCGAGGCAAGGGTAGGGAGGAGCAGCTGGAGAAAGAAAGGGAAGCCAGGAGACTCCAACTGCTCTTGCAGCCAGAGCAATGTGGTGAGTGGTGGCTGGGATGAGCACCATGGGACTGCAAGTTAACCCCGCGTGCACTACATGCAGCCCGCAAGCCACCAGTTAGATGGCCCTGAGCTTTGCCATGAACACAGCACACAGACCGGAGATAAATATTTTTTCCTCAATCATAGTCATCTTAATCGTTACATGTTAATACTGGGTAAAGAGCGTGGGGAGATGATGGTGATATTTAAATTTAAACTTAGATATGAATACCTACATACTTTTAAAAGATATAATTCAATTAAAGCTGAACAAAAATGTGCCAGAAATAGAAGACCAAGAAATGCAAACAGTATTTAATTAATAAGGCAAGGGGGTTGTTTGTTGCAGGGCCTCAGAGTGTTTCAACATGTAAACAGACAAATCAAATTCTTGGCAAACTGGTAAATTGACCAAACTACCAATAGCTACCTGCTGCAGACACAAATACTGGGAACTTGTTGCAAAACCTATCAGTGGACTGTCAGCCTGGGTCAGGAGGGTCTGGCAAGCATACTGCAAAGAAGTTTGGACTCTGGACTAAGCAAAAAATTTAAATCCCACCAATTTTACCCTTCGGCATCTTCAAGTTCAATAAAGTGCAATCGAAGAGTGCTTTAAGAGCAAAAACAAGGCTACATCTGGATTTTCGGCAAGTCATTCTAATCACTGCTCATGAAAAACTATGTGGCAATTGCATAGCACAGCATTAAATTCATATAGTCTTGGCTGTAAAAGTTGGCAGAACATATATCCATTAATCCTCCCAGAAAGGGGAAAAAATGTTTCAAATACTGGTAGCTGGATACCCTCTTCCCTCTCACCCACAAGTGATCAGCTCTTTTGGTACAAACATGAAAACTTAATCAAGCCTTCTGTGGAAGACAATTTCTTTGGCTTAGCAGTAAGACGCAAATACAATGGGAAGTGACAATGCAGAATGACGTGTTCACGGTCCCCTGAGTGAATAAAGACATCCTGTGTCAGCTTCCCTCCGGGAATGGAACTAACTAAAGGGAACTTAGAGGTAAAATTTGTGGGACAACCAGACTCTGGTTTGGCTAGAACTATGACAAACCTTCTGGATGGCTTGTAAAGGGGGGGGAGGGGGGGCGCACACCTGTTTCATTACCTCTTTTTCTTCTTGAGCCAAGATCCAAGACAAAAAATTCTTCCCTGAACAGTACACAGCAAAGCCAGAACTGACAGACAAGGAACCTCAGTCAGAAAAAGAGGCAAATGGTACCTGGACTCCTCTCCCCACTGTGGAGATAACCTCTGACTAATTCCTTCAAAGCAAAAATTGTAACTACTTCTCTATGGATTTGTTCTCTTTTCCTTACTATTCTTAAGCATATTTAAGACTTCAATACCTTCCCTGTTGAACAGACTCTAGAACATTTTGAGAAGTATCTCTGGCAAGGTTAAGGAAATAAAGCTTTTGTTCTTAGCTGGAACTGCTTCGGTCACTGCCAGCTAGCTATTTAATGTTCTTCTATGATTGCCTTTTGTTTCAAAGGAAATCCAAGCACCACATTCAAACCACTGAAACAAAGGATGTCTCTAACATGGGAAATTGCAAAAATTGCTAATATGTTGTGAGCCAGTTACTTTTTGTATGAAGTATTAGTAGCATTCTGCTTTCTAGACCAACTGTGTGCTGAAAAACCATTAATATATATTAATACACATTGTTTTAAAACAAAATCATTGTAAATCTGAAGTTCGTAACAGGGCAAACATTTACTGGTCAACAAAAAAAAAAAAAAAAATCAAAGTTTAACAATTCCTAGGATATACCAACAAATTGATCCTTGATATTTCACCCATCACCCACTCATGGAATCACTGGCAATGGTGCACTTCCACTATGAAAAGCAAAGGCCTAAAGCTGAGATTTTAAGTACAGGTCCATCAGGACAAAATTCTCCTGAGCTGGTAGGGCACTAATTATGCAACTCTACAGGGGAAAATTACTAGTGAATGAACCCACAAGTGCTATGGACAGAAGTTACAGATAAACCAGTTTAAGTGATCAGAAACTGGTTTAACCTTGTAACAGAACAGAAGCTCAGTGCACATAAACCAGTTTGAAAATGGCTGAAACTGGTTTAAGATAAACCTGGTTGAATGTACTATCAGACTTCAATGATTTGGGTCAAACCGGTTTATGAAACTCATGTCCCACACCCCTTTCTAGTTCAAGTTAAATCATAGTGCCCTAGCATCCCAGCATGATTTCCACTCTTGGGCTGTGCTGGGCTGTGCTGTCTGCTCCAGAGGCCTGGCCCTGCCCCTCTGCTCTCTGGCTGGAGTAGTGAGGTCCAACTGGGGGAGGGAGGGGGCGGGGCAAGCCCAGCTGGGGATGCAGCCCAGTCTGCAGGTGGAAAGGGGGGGAGGACTGTCCCCCAGGAAAAGCCCAGCTGGGGTCTGGGGCCAGGGACGAGGGTTAAACACCCCTTCCCCTGCTCAAACTTACTACTGGCTATGACTATAGACTACAAATCCCAGAGGCACCTGGAAGCAGGAAGAGGATGCGACGAGCAACCCTGCAGAGCTCTTCTCTGCGATTATGGGTCTTTTGTACACGCCACAAAATTGGCCTTTAAAGAGGCTTAATGCCCTTTTAAACCGCTTTAATGGTGCAGCTGTTTGCACATGGCGACATAATGCATTTTAATGGTGGGCCGTTCGCATGCGTCGGTGGCATAATGAGTGTTAAATGATTTTGGGACGCAGCAAAATAAAACATCTCTGAGGTAGTTTAGTTTGCTGCGGAGGGAAGCACCGGGCCCTGTGCAGCTCAGGGGCTGTGCAGGCAGGCTCCACTGAATGAAAAATAAATAAATAAATAAATAAATAAAAATGGTTGAGCCTAATTTTTTATTTTTCTCCCCAGAACCTGCCTACCTGCCTGAGCTGCGCGGGAGCCCGGTGCTTCCCTCCGCAACTGCAGTGCCTTCTGGGACCGCTCGGGTTGGGTGCTTGCTGCCGGACAGGCAGGTAAGGGTTGGGCCCGACCCTTGTGTACATGCCACAGGTTCTCTTTCCCCTAAATTGAAGGGGTGTTTTTAAAGATCCACCGCTTCAATTTAGGGAGAATTAAACCAAAGTAAACCCCTATGGCATGTACAAACACTACAAATCCTAGAGATCTTGGGGGCAGCAGGAAGAAGCAGCGAACACAGCCCATGCTGGCTACATGCCAGAGAGACGTGCTCTAGCACCCCCCCCCCAGCTTCTGGCCTGAGCCACTGCAGGCATATAGCTGCAGTTCCTGAATTAAGGTAACATTTGTCTGGTCACTTCTGTTTCAATTTAATCTCTGCATTTTAGACAAACCTGCAAAGACTGAATCAATTCAGCCTCGGGCTTTTTCACTCTCCATACTTAGCCACAGGGGCTATATTAACACTTGCTAAAGATAGCACCATTGTTTTTTCTTCTGGATATAGAAGTCCCTCCCAACATACAAGAAGAATCTGTAGGCCTATTGGGTTGTGTTATGGGCAACAATATATTAACTTTGAAATTAAAATTAATTAACCAGATTTTATTGACATTATAGAATATGCACTTACCATAAGCTGTCATGGTCCCAACATAAGGTCCATCTACTACATTTCTGTTTTCCTCTGCCAGTGCTTTGATATATCTTTTGCTGAGATCCAGTATTTGTTCACGAAGCACTGAACTGCTTTCATGTTGAGTTCGCTGTTGAATAGTAAAATGCAGAAGCATCATTCCCCAAATGAAGCCAAAAGTCACCAAAAAAAAGCCAAGTTTCTGAGAGGATAGTTTCCATGGAGTAAAGAAGGCCATGGCTTTCTCGAAACTTCAGTCACTACAAAGGTTCTTAAAGCATGAAATCCAGGAGTACCATCATGGTCCAGATAGCAATCGCAATGCGGAAATCAATCTCACTCTGGCTCGCTAGTTAGTATATGGCCTCCTTTCAGTTCCATTCTGCTGCAAGGGGAAAAAAAAAAAGGAACACCTGGTCACTGCAAAGTAGGGTAACTCCAAACTGTACTGCGTTTGTGCTGTAACTTCTACAAAATACAAACAGACAATATGTTCTTTTTGTACATTTTTAATTTGTGTATATCAATATTTTATAATATACAAGTCAGAGCATGAACAAGCTAGAAGGGGATTTGGAAAAAGAACAAGAAAAATAGCAACGTGTATGAACAGGTGTATAATCCATTTGAAAATCTAGAATAAAAATCAGTGCTTTAAGCAGAGTTTTCCATCCAAAATTCAAGGTAAGGAAACTTAATGCATTTTTTGTGCGTGAAGATTTTGCAGTGCTGCCAATGTAGTGATTTAAAACAATCTTCAACATAATTCAGTTCTTAGCAAACAAGTAATTTTAGCTGGCAGTGACACTGCTATGAGTTTCTGGCAAGAGCTACGGCATATGGCGAGATAGGTAATCTGGAAAGCTGACTCCCCTCAAGGGAAAAGGAAAAAGTGTTCTGCATTATTTAAGCAAATGCACACACTCTCCCAGCTTCACTGCAGGTATTTAGAAGACAGGATGAATCTCCTCTTGTTTCTGTGTGGCCTCTTCCATACATCTCTACATAATCAAATACCTCTTACTTATTTTATACCAAATTCTAGTTTAAACAGCACAGTTGTGCACAATATTTATTGCCACACAATACATCCTGCATTTAAAGAGTCATGGTTCCTATTTCATCATTGTCTAGAGAAGACTCAGTATATTATAATGTCAAATCCCCACCCCCTGCAAAAAAACAAAAAAAACCCATCCCCAAACCAAAAAACCCAGTATAAAAATTCCATCTGTGCCTGGTCAACTCGATGCTAGCTTATACATCGTTTATCTGAATGCATCAGCCAATCCTAACTAGGACAAGACAACCTCTTTCTTAAAACGACTGCTTTTGATATAAAAGGTTGCAACAAAAGAAGGTAATTAAATACAACCTACCATATTTAAACATGGATTTGGTAAAGCATTATCCTTTTGACTTTATAATGCTCCCAGACAGGATTACAGAACACAATGTTCTTTTTTCCTTTGTACTTGCACAGATAATGCAGATGTTGCTTTGTTTTAATAGGATAATTATAGAGATGTCTGCTATAGCAGTGCTGCATGTTTGTCACAAATCCTAATCAGAAGAGTCTATTTTCAGCTCACTTAACCATTCCTTAAGGCAGGGGTATCAATCTCATCTGATCCTATGGGCCAAATGAGTGTTTCAGGGCCAGTCAATGGGCTGGATGAAATGGTGTAGGGCTGGGCCCATGGGCCAGATCAGGCCCACCCTTTCCCCTCCTACACCCCCCTCCCACACACTGAATCCAGCACCCATGGTACTTACTCTGGCCAGTCTGGGACTGCGCAGCATGCAACACCCACTCTGGTCCAGGGCAGACATTAAATGTAGTGGAGGTACTAGACTGGCTGACATGGCAGTATACTATATAGAGATCAGTCCCAGACTGGCTAGAGTGGGTACCAGATCTGACATCCCAGGGGACCCATAGAGCCCTCCTGGACATACTGGATCCAGCACCACTCTGGTCACTCTGAGACTGTGCTGCACACCGGCTGGAGCAGTGAGCCACATGTGGCTCACATGCCAGACCCCCAGCTA